CTCCCCCCCGGACTCTAGTCAAGTCTGAATGACTCGATCTAAGAGTATATTTCCGTCTATCCTTCAAATTGTTGCGCTTTCCTCCATGTATCGACCATCTTGCGAGCTTTCGTCTGCTTTTTTACCATATTTCCTTTTGACCACCGCTACGAGATTAGAACTTGCCACTTGTCCGGTTCATCAAATGCATCAATCATTGCGTCTCCTCGCGATTTACGCCCCTTTCGTGTTTCATGCCTCTTAAATGCTTACAGCCGTTGGATTTCACCTCACTTCACTTATTCATCTATAAATGCCCATACTTAGGATTTTTCACATTTTTTCACCTTCACAATTTCTACTGTACTTGTCCTAAAATTCTCTGGTTTTTATGCTCGTGCTCTCGCCGCTCAATTGCAATTCAAGCTTCCGCCTACTCGACAATTTTCAATTTCGATTTTTCCCGTCTACCTCCGATGTCTGGCAATGAGCAAGTTTTAAAATTTCTCAGTTTATATACTCTGTATTTGAGTTTTTTGGATTTTTCTATTCTTTGATTTCCCTTCAAAATTTCGCAAAAAGCTCTCTTTATCTTCTTCTTTCCCCTCCATCGTTAAAACCCTAGAATTTTCCCCTTTTGATATTTTTTCTTCTTCTGTTTTTTTGATTCTGCTACCTCGAGCGAAAATAACCATCGCCTTGGGAAGAATATGACATCTCTTTCCTCGTCCTCGACTCCTCAACTTTCTCCTCACTCTCCTAGCAACTCCGTGGAGGAGGTTATTCAAGCCACTCCACTCACCATTCTGAAACACGTTAATTCCGACGGCACCCCTTTCTAGCATCCTTCTCTCATTCTCTCCATCTGGACGATGAAACAGACGACGATGTCCTTGACCTTGTCCCACTTACGCATCGCTCTCGGCCTGCTTTCGGCGCATGCGATGTCGCTGATGCAGCTCTCGAGGAAGATGAGGACCACATCCCCCTCTCTCGCCATTCCCTTCCGCCTAATCCTGCTGCTTCGACCAAAACATGACAACTAAAATTACTAGAACCATAAAAACCAAAACTTCGGTCTCGCCTGCTTCCTCACATGCTTCTCTCATTGTTCCCTCCTTCATGGGCTTGTGGAACTAGCCTCTCTTCCATTCTTAATTCAGATATCTCATAAGGGTGCACTGTCTCCCTTTGTTCTGAGAATGAACTTGGGGCATTTGGTCTACTAGTGGATGGCTCACTATTATTGCTTACTGGTGGAGATCCTGAAATTACAACTCCTTCAGACGCTTTCATCCAATCCCCATATTGGCCCTCATTTAAATTGTGCTTGCTACATCTTCCGTACATTTTGAACAATTTTTATCAATGTGCCCCAACTTCCCACAGTAAAAACATAAGTTTACTACCTTCTCATACTTTAATTGAATTGTAACTATTTTCTCTCCCTACCTGATTGTCGACCATCTAGGTAGAGGTTCCTTTATGTCCAGTACGACCTGTAATCGAATGATTCTTCCTTCTTGATTCCCATCTTTTGCCAAATTCACATTTCTGATTCCTTTAAAAGCTCGGCCCAGCTTCAATCCCACCTCCGTGCAGAGCCAATTTATTGGCACTCCATGGGCTTGAACCCAGACTGTAAGTTCTTCAAAGCTTGGATGATTTTCATATAAGCCCTCTTTCCACTCTTGTAAAATGAGGTATTGATTCTCGAATATGCAGCTACGCCCCATATCCACTTTTTGAAGAGCCTTTTTGTTCGGTAATAGGAACTTAAATAGTTAGCATTAAGCTCTCGGACTTCCAATGTATTCCCTAGTCTCCAGAGCATTCCCATTGTTCTTATACCCACCCAATTAGCTCGCTTTTCCCCCATAATTTTTTCGAATAGGCTACGATTGCATTCTTCCTCACTGATGCGGATATCCTTCTCCCCAATATCGATGATTAATTTTTCCGCTGCCGAGATGGAAACTTTCCCCAATCTGTGCCCTAAGTCCTCTGCCATTATACGACACCTAAACTTTCTATAGGAGGAAGTCGAGCTTAATAAATACTGAACGCCGACCAACCAACCTTCGCAAGCGAAGAAGAGCCTCCCCCGGAGTTCAAACTCTCAATACGAGAGAAGAATTTGATTCATATGATGAAGTATGGTTCCCTTTTCTCTCCTTTTTAAAATGTGGTAATGTTGAGAATAGCATAATTTTTATTGCAATACCTCTTCCTTTGTAACACTTGAGAAAATAAACTTTTATCGTGTTTCAAAATTCATGAAAGAAAGTGATACTTAACTTGGGAGTTAGGGCTGCAATATGTAATGCAGTAAACATTTCTTGCTTGTGAACGTATTTTCGACTTTTTCATAAACACAGGAAATTCATCGCATACGAACAACCACAACAAACGTAATCTCAAATCCTTAAATCAAAATGCAACTTCGTCAATTCATAAGCAACTACTGAAAACCCCAAAATAGAATTATTCCAGGATTAACCTCATACCTTCATATTTAACAATTTAACAAAAAAGAAGAAAAAAAGGCCATCCAAAATTATCACAACAATAATCAAACAACTTGGTAGTTCTCAGCAGAGAGCAGAGTCCTCTGGGAAAACTTGGGCGGGTTACCTCCTTTCAGTGGGACGATATTAGCCACCTGCAAATACATTTGTCAAAAAGCATTTACAAGAATCTAAACTATCACGGCATTTTAAGGGAGACAAGAGAAAGAGAACCTTTATGCCACTAAAAGTGCTGGTAGAAGTGAAGCGCACAGATATCGGGAAAAGATCAGATGGGTCTATAGCGGGAATAACAAACTCCATTGAACCACTGCAAGGATTTTAAAATAATTCTATGAAAAAACTTGAACTGGAAATAAATCCTGAGATTAGTTTTGATTTCTTAGCACCAACCTGCGATTTGAGTTATCAATCAGTACAATAGACCATTCCAATATCGACTTTCTTGAATCATACCTGTAAAATGTAGCAGAAAAATTACGAGCGGGGATTATTAATTATCATTTGATAAGGAGTTGAGAAGCACCAAGTAATATGATCTACAATTGCATATCGTGCAAAGATCTCAAATACAGTCCCATTTTGATCCTATGTTAAAACTGCAAACATGACACATGTGTACCAGGTGATTCTCTTCTGTGTTTCCCATTTCTATCGAGTTTTACCAATTTATCATATGATGACATGCAACCAATTTTGATTAACATAATTTGAAAGCACAAAACACCTAACTGGACTGTTTGCCCACTCATATCATTATACTCATTGTCGAAGCAGTCCGGAAAACTCATGTCGCGAAGTACTAACGCAAAATCATGAAATTATACAGTAATTTTTTCACTAAATATGTATATAAGATATCGGTTTGACTGATTTAATTTCAAGTATAATTAAGTTAAGTCCCCCCCTCCCCAAAGAAAAATCACAACTACATATTGAAATTTGTGGTTCATAATCAATTATACCAGATTAACATCTTCACTAACCTAGCTTAATCTATTAAACAATCAACTTAGCTTTTTACTTCAACCCTAAGAAACAGTACGAATTATTGATTTAATAAATAACAGAAGTTGTTCTCATACAAATCCCTTGCACGATCACCTCCAAGTAAAATAGTTCGTTAACCCACCTTTATCTCAAATCACAACCTAACCGCTCAATCAAATGAATCCTATCCAAGTCCAAACTATTGTGTTCAAAACAACACCATACACATCAGAGATGTAGAAATATTTTTGAAACAAAAGCAATGTGGCACTCCAGTTCCATACTCCAAAACATCAGTCATTGTCACATTAAATTAGATAAAGATATTATGGACATACCCAGAAATAAAATCCTTGCTAACATTATAAGTATTTCTAACAAACAGTAAATATAAAATGCTAAGATGAACCCTCACCTCCACTCCCCATCAATCTGCTGTACTCTTGGTGCCTCTCTAAGAGCAGGAAGAGGGATTGAAATCACAACATTTTGAAGATCAAACATAGGTGGAGCTTCGTACTCCAAATTCACATAGGTCTCATTTCCGGAAACAGAAGGCCAGCAGTTAACTAAAACATGAAACAAAAAGGCAAAAACTTTATTATGTAACAAAAAGAAACTTGTCAATTTTAGTGTAGCGGTAGGACAAAAGTAAAGCTCACTTGACAATGGCACAAGTGACTCATCTGCACTTTGCATTCTCCACTTCAACAAAGGAAGGCCATCACCAGACTGGCCAGCAGGAAACGGGCGATTAGGATCCTTGGGACCCAAGAGATTCTCACCAGAGAACAATTCCTTGTTAATATTGGGATGTGTTTTATATATTATTCCTGGATTCCCGCTAGTTTCAATCTGGAAAAACACATCGTAAACTAAATCTATCAAATATATTCCATTAACAAAAACAGAAACGGAGGGGGCTTTAAAATTAAACTTGATACAGATGCAAATCATATGTTCATAAACTGCAGTAGAAAAGGTGGAAAACCTGAACTTGGATGTGTCCATCATCTTGGTTAAGGATTTGAAGTGACAAAATACCCTGTAAATCAAAGTTACCAATACCACCATCCTGCTTCAATGTCACATTAAGCTTCTCCTCAACAGTCAACGTAACAGGATCAGTTGGTGGTGGAGCAGCAGCACTTGAGTGACCAATACTAGGCCTCACATCTTCAACAATCACTTCACCTTCAGCTTTGAGAGACTCCAAAAATTGGTTAGTTCTTTGGGTTTTCCCTAATTGCATACCAAGACCTTTTGGCGGAGCTGAAGCAGATGCTGGTGGACGGCCTAATCAAAGAATTCAAAAAAAATAAAATAAATATCAGCTTGTAGACAATTGGGTTTCTCAAAACCATCACTAAAATAATAGTAAAAAAAAAAAGTAAAGAATATATCACTGGAACACAATCACAACCCAAAATTCAGCAATCTAAGATCACCACACATTAAAGGTATGTTTGTCTTCAAAGAGTTCTCTCGTTTCTTGCAGTCTTCTGATAACTACTGTATAGTGGCCTATTTAACAAACCAGAATCCCATGTATGGTTTTCAGTAATGTAATAGGATGATAAGATTGCCACACTCTTTTTTTTTTTTTTTTTTTTTTTTTCTCTGTTTTTAAAACGGTGAAGCTCAGATATACGTGAGAAATCGTTATTATCCTTGAACCCCCTCACAAAGAGAAGGGTCTCATAGAGCTGGGATTAGAAATTCTTATCATCACTGCCACACCGTTTTTAAGATTGCCACTCTTGTTTCTAGAGAAGATCAAACTACAAGCTTCAGAGAAATTGTCCAAGAGAACAAAAGGGGAAACAAAACACATCAGTTTTCATATTTAAACTAGTGTTTTTCATTTCCGAAACCTTCGAAGGACAAGATACAGAATATTTGATAGATATAAATTTTGAGGAAAAACCTTTAGCCTTCGAGAACACATCCACTTCAGTGCTTATTCCAAATCCGGAACCACTTCCAAAACCACCACTATTGGATATGCCATTGTCACTGCCAAGTGGCCCAAACCCAGCATCAATTCTTCCAGAACCCATTGATTGTAAAGACATAAATCCGCCCTTCTCACCCCTGCTCTTCTCAATCTAGATGAATTTACAAAATAGTAAAGTCCCACTATGACCTGGAATATAGTGCGAAAATGTAATCATCAAACTTGAGACCCGAAACAGTTACCTTGCTTTTATCAATCTCACTAGCCTTGCGCTTCATGACGTCCTTGGTTTCATTGATCTTGCTTTGTAAGACCAACTTGTGCAATTTTTCTTCATGACTTTCCATTTCACAGTACTGTTTGACTTGTGCAACTGTGACACTTTCTTTGTGTCCAAGTGATATAACTTCATCAAAAGCAAAAAGGATTTCGAAAGCCGTCTTGCCAATGCCTTCTTCGTCCAGGGAATAAGAGTACTCAGGCACCTAAGAGGGTTAAAGAAACCTAACAACAACTCATAAATAGCAAACATGAGAAACTATAGATTGTTTTTGTCCAGTGATTGGGCATTTTCAGAGAGGAGTTTCATGATGTTTTGCCAAATGTGTCTTCATGCAGATAAATGCATCACGAAGACAAATGTATTCTGTTAGTAAATGGAGAAAGTGGAAGATTGTTGCTATTTGAAAACGCACTTATACATGCTAAAAAACTGATAGTTCACTGTCATATGTAAAGAGAAAACAACATGAAAAAGATCTCAACGAACTCGTGTAATCTAGAAAGTGTGAGTACAAAAAAGCACCATATAAGGATACAAGTTTTGAGAGAAGTCTCAATGTCTCCAAATCCTCAAGAATGTTGCTCTGCTTATTTGTTACTAGGAGGAGGTAGAGGGACTCTATTGGCTGATACACATAACGGACATTTTCTGTCTCAATGTAAGTATGTTGTTTCCCTGTTCCAACCAATTTGGGAAAAGCTGCAAGGTATCCCTCAATGCGTATACGAGACATGTCAACAAACTGCCTCGAAACAAGTGCTGCAAAGAAACACGGGTAAACATTTATAGAAGTATACTGTGGAGATCCAACAAATGAACACAGAAGGTAATGATGTAAAATCACCAGAAAAAGAAAATTGTGTTCATATTTAAATAGTAAACAGATAATGGCAAAGAAGACTAATACTTTCATGATTGTAATTTCAAAAAATTTATTATTACATTTATACAAAAATACAATTTATTATGGCTTCATACATTGCATGAACAAAATACTGGTTAAACTAATAAATTTACGCTAATGACATACCTTCACCTGATGCAATAACATTAACATACATTGTTCTTGATATTAAACATAGATATGAGAAAATTCCAAAAATAATAATGTGCCATGAAACCAGCATCTACATAAGCAATACATTACATATAGCACCGGTATCAACATCTGGACGAGTGATTCATAATTTAACAAAGTTAAATGAATGATACAAACTCAGCCCTCAAAGAAACCTTTGAGTAATTCATTCCTCTTCTTTGTTTGGAAGCACAAAGGCCACAAGACTGTTACATAAAGTAAGAGGACATGGAAGCAAATTTGCTATTTATGTCAATCCTACAAGACGGTGCTGTTTATGAGTGCCATACATGAATGGTCATGCACACAATCATCTTGCCACTACCTGGCTACATATAACGGGCGCACATCACCTTAGGGATGCAAAACTTACATCAGCCACAAAGATATTGTCCATGACTGCTGTCCAAACAAAGTGAGATTAAAGCTCTGATAGCACTTATCACAGGCCTAAATCCTAATCCACTTCTACACGTACAATAAGGAAGGATCTATTGCATCGGCATAGCCTCACCCTAAACAATGTGGGGTGGAAAACAGTTGTACGCACAATTTCGAACTCCATCTTGTTAATCAAAAACTATGACTCCATACGTATTTCCATTCTTCTAAGCACGCCAACCAAACTTTTCTCAGCATTTAGAAACTTAGCTGATCTCTACTTTCATATTATATGACAACTAAAGGACATTTGACTTTTGCTACTGACTGTGTCACTTACATGCCAACTAGTGAAGAAAGCATCTTGCATGCATCTCTAACCTAAATATTCATTGAGGTCGACAAGATTCATCTTGAGCACCTCATCATATCCAAGAACAATAAAAGAAACGAAAAGAGGACGACAGGTGTTCAAAGCTCGAGTTAAAATGCATCCAGAGCTCACCTTTGCCAGATTTACTTATTATAGAAGCTGCGAGGACCACCTGCATTGCAGATACCAAAGAATCAAGATCACCGTCAAAAGCACTAAAATAGAAATAATGTGAAAACTAGAATATTGGGGGAAGAGAATGAGAATCACCATCTTGTTCCTCTCGAATTCCACCACCACAAACCGATCAAGAAATTTAAAAACTGAACCGCCCAGATGCTGCACACACGATCATCAATCTCGCACAATTAAAATAACAAAAACTCCACACATAATACATAAATGATAACACAGAAGAACACAATATAAATTCTTGTTCAAGAGTTAGATCCAGATCTCAAGCACTAACATTCCCTTTGAAAAATAATGTCCTAGCATTTGTCAGATGAATCGAGTTTTACAGATTTACACAGCTTACAAAATGACGTCTTTAACATAAAACAAGGTGAGAGGAAGGCAACTAAGAAGTAAACGAAAATCAACACGAAGAATAAACAGATCAGATCACGCGAAGCTCGAAAACTGCCATTTTTGTTACCTGCAGATTCACCAGAATACAGATCAAAGGGAAGACAAGCGAGCGAGCGAGTGTGTGAAGTGGATCGAAGACGAAAATTGATGAAAGCTTTACAATTAGATGGACTGTCTTATATTCTGTTCGCCTTTCGTATTTGTCAATGAACAGCAACTGTCGAGATAATTAGGTGACTGAACAAAGAGAACTTGGGCTCGTACAGAAATACACCGGCCTATGAAATGAGGCCTCATCATGAGTTTTTCAAAGCCCACGCACATGATTTACTTTACTTTATTAATTAGGCAAATTTTTTCGGAAAATTCCATTTAAATCCCCCCTCCCTTTTACAAATTTCTGTTCAGTCCCCCCTTTAATTTTTTTCCTCTGCACTCCCTTCCCTTTATTTTGTTTTTCCATTTCACTCCCCCTATATAAACCAAGCTTATTATTATTCATTTATTTTTTGCCATTTTATTCATAAAGTAAAGTCTCTCTCTCTCCTCAATTTTTATCAGTTTTCTGTCGCCGCTCTCTTCTCTCTCTGCTCGTTTTTTTCGTCGCCGGTCTCTTCTCTTTTTCTGTTCGTTTTTCATCGACATCGCCATAGCCATCGCCACCTCTGCGCTGCCTCTCTCTGTGTTCGTTCATCACCATCGCCCGCCATCTTCGTCTCTCTCTTTCTCCGTCACTTCGCCATCTCTGTGAAGAAATGGCCGGCTCCAAAAAGAAGTCTCCATGC